CATGACCTGAGCCGAAGGCAGATGCTTAACGACTGAGCCACCCAGGCGCCCCAAAAATCCACTACATTTTAGAAACGAGGCCCAAAATTCTGTTAGAAATGTAAGGGCCAATTTTCTTTGCCATTAATTCAATAATATTAGGTATGAGTGTAAGCTAGAAGCATCAAGGACCGCCCCCCCCACTCCCGTCCTTGCCATTGCCATACCTTAATGAAGAAAAAATTTTAGATGGTGAAACATACCTCAATATTACTTGTTCTGTGTCTGAATAAAAATTACATTGTTTTCATTATGGCAGGGGATTGAAACAAAGAATACCACAAGCATCTTGAACTACTAACATTTCAAAACGCCGTTTCTACCCAGCTGGCTTTGATTCTGCCACCTACACAAATCTGTTTTTTATTTTTAAACTTGCACACTTTTAATTTTTTAGTACATACATTTTTAAAACTTTTCCTCAGCTGCTATAGGTTTTTTTTTTTCTTCCTAGTGGTGATCATTTAAAGACAATGTCAAAACAAATTCTTTCCTACCATTCTCCACTCTGGCAGTTTCTCAGTGTATATGCCCCTCCCAACACCTACTGTCTGTTTCTGCTCTTTCTTTCCTCTCCTATCATTGAGCTTGCGCTCCCCTGCATCAGAACTCCTGGCAGAAATTACACAGCCAGCTCCAGTGTCCCAGGGATGATAGAAACAACTGCCCGGGGCGCCTGGGTGGCTCAGATGGTTAAGCGTCTGCCTTCGGCCCAGGTCATGATCCCAGGATCCTGGGATCAAGCCCCACATCAGGCTCCTGGCTCAGCGGGGAGCTTGCTTCTCCCTCTCCCTTTCTCCCTGCTCATGTTCTCTCTCTGTCTCTCTCTCTCTCTCTCTCTGTGTGTCTCTTTGTCTCAAATGAATAAATAAAAAAAATCTTAAAAAAAACCAAACAAACAACTGCCCTACTGTGCAGCTGTGGTTCAGGACCATGGACAGCAGCTCATGCACTGACAACACACCCTACTTCTAGTTATGTATGAAAATAGGTTCTTCTATTTTTTACAGATCTTCATGCCTTTTGTAATTATTTCATAATATATTCCTATCACAGTTTCAACTATCCCTTTTTTAAAACCAAGGAGTAGGGGCGCCTGGGTGGCTCAGTCGTTAAGCATCTGCCTTCGGCTCAGGTCACCATCCCAGGATTGAGCCCCACATAGGCTCCCTGCTCGGCGGGAAGCCTGCTTCTCCCTCTCCCACTCCCCCTGCTTGTGCTCCTGCTCTCGCTGTCTCTCTCTCTCTGTCAAATAAATAAATAAAATCTTTAAAATAAATAAATAAAATAAATAAAACCAAGGAGTAAAAAGGCCTACCACTTATAAGCTGAAACTGCCTATAATATTAATAGTTTCCATTTATTGAGGACTTGTTAAGTATTTAGCATACATGATCTTGCTGAATTCTTACAACACTTTGACGTTGGTGCCATTATCACTATTTTTTCAACATGGAAAGTATGACACACCAAGTTTAAGTACCCAGTTCGAATGGTCTCCAAAGCTTGTGCAAAATCTTAAAACAGGTGTACATTTTTGACCAGTCACTAACGCATGATATTCCCTTATGCAGACTCATTCTACAGCATTGGGGACAGCTGGGGAAGAGGTGAAGATCATTGCCAGTTTGTGGATTCACACCTTGATGGAAGAACAGGGCCTCAGTCCTATGTAGAAGCTCTCCCTACCATTCAAGGTAATTCAAACGAAGGCCTGATCATACTACCCTTGGGAGAGGTTGGGAGAGGAGAGCTAATATAAGGAGGAAGTCACTATAGCTCTCCCCTTTGTTTATCTTTTAAAGATAGTTGTTGGCAGCATTTTGGATCATATAATCATATAAATAAGGAACCAACAAAATATTCCAACCATGTGCTGGAATTGTGTGAACCTAGGAGAGGCAGGGATACAAAGGAATATAAGACCTTGTCCTTACACTCAGAAAAATCTCTTCTCTGCTCCATTACTGGGAAGAGAAAATAGATATGTGAAAGGTAACTGGGAGTGAACAACTTAAAGTATAGATAATGATAGGAGTTATGTCACATAGTTGTCCTATTGTTAGGTAATTGTGCAGATTGTAGTCACTATCTGAGTTCGAGGAAGACAGGCTACTTGAAGCTGTCAAGAAAGAAGTGGAGTCTGGGCTGAGTCATTAAGAAACCTAGACATGCAGAGGATAGAGTCTTTTGGGCAGAGGACAACGTGAACATGGGTGCAGAGAAGGAAAGGTAAACGAACATACAAACCAACCATAGCTTATCATATACTTTAGGAGGTAACATAACAACTAGTTCATGATGGTATCACAGGGTGACAACATATACATTAATCTCAAAGGTTAACAACTTGCAGTATGCTACTAACTCCCTCAACTGCCAGAACAAAAAAATAAACAGAACAACTGAATGAAGTCCAACACTGTTTCCATTATGCACTCAACTCCTAGTGATCTGGCAATGTCAAGACGTGAGATGTCCTATCAACTTTTTTAATTTGGAAAAAAATTAACATAGGCTGGTAAACACAGATTACCTATTTTCAAAGAATTAAGGTAGAGTAAAATAGAACAGAAAAGTAATTGTATTAGTCAGAGTTCTCCAGAAAAACAGAACCAGAGAGAAAGAGAGATTGAGAGAGAGGTGTCTTAAGGAGTTGGCTCATATGATTATAGAGGCGGGCAAGTCCAAAATCTGCAGAGCAGGCCAGTAAGCTGGAGCCCCAAGGAAGAGTCCGGGTTGCAATTTGGGTCTGAAGGCAGTCTACTGGCAGAATGCCCACTTTGTCGGGGGGGTAATCTTTTCCTATGAGGCCCTTCAACTGATTGGACGAGGCCCACCCACATTATAGAGAGTAGCTTACTCTACTCGAAGTGTGATGATTTAAAGGTTAATCTCATCTAAAAAATGTTTTTCAGAAACACCTAGAATAATATTTGACCACATATCTGGGTACCATAGCCTAGCCCCATTGACACATAAAACTAACCGTCACAATCAGTATACCAAATATACCACATTTCTTAATTTTTTCAGGATCTTGCATTGACCCAAGGTTACTATGCATGATTTATATTTTACTGTGTTTTGTGACTGTGGTTTTGGTTCTGAGCAGAGGTGCTGCCTATAGTCAGCATGCTCACTGATAGGATGGCGTGTATCCTTTCATCCGGCAAGAGTAAACAGGGCCAGAGAGGAGTTGCCAAAAATGTTTTTCGAACAGGTTGGGGCCTCCCTTTTACTTTAAGGGAGACCGGCTCAAAAATGCTATAGCATTCTTTCCTTTGGGAGATTTCCCTGAAGGATCTAAAAGCCTACCACAGACGTCAAGAATTAAACCAGGAGGCTTGAGGTTCTAGGCGACTCGCAAGGCCGAAAGTGCTGTGAGGAGCAGGTGGGGGTCTTTCTGACAGTTCTTTGCCCTGCAGGGAGTCTCCCTAGCGAGTGGCTCCAATGATTTTCTTTTGTGGAGAGAGAGAATTAGGGCACTAATGAACACGCTTTCCCATCTGTGTCACACACCGTGTGGGGACTGGGTTATCCCCCCAAATCATGCCTGGGATAAACCCCAGGGATTATTGTGACCCCCCCCCCACATAAAAATGGTAGTGTTTATTTGGAAGTAACGTTTGTCGTAAGAACAGTTTATCAGAGGTCTTCTGTCTGAATGGAGGTTCTAGGGATGAGAATTTTTTCTGTTGGTTTGAGCGCTTTTGATGCTACAATTGTAACACCAGTTCCAAGCGTGGGTTTTTTCCCCCACACCAGTAGCAATTCTTGGACACCAGCTGGGTGTCCTACAATTGAAGTCTGTTCTGACACAATGTGCCCAGAGGTGGCGTCAGATCGCACAGGTTAAGGGCTCAGTCCCACAAGACTGACACCCTCCCCCGACCAACTTCAAGTGCCCGTCACAAGTCCAGAGTGCCATCTGAGCATCTGACCTCTTGGCTACATGTTGGAGGTTCCTACTGCCCCCTTCTTGGGTTTGATTAATTTGCAAGAGCAGCTCACGGGACTCAGAGAAACATTTTACTTACTAGGCTACCTACCAGTTTATTATAAAAGTATACAATTTGGGGGATGCCGGATGGAAGAGATGCATAGGGCACAGCGTGGGGAAAGGACACAGAATGTCCGTGTCCTCTCTGGGAGCGCCACCCTCCCAGCATCTGCATACGTTCACCAGCCCAGAACTTTCAGAACCTGGTTCTTTTGGGTCTTTGTGGAGGCATGATTGAATAAATCATTGTCCCTTCATGACTGAACTCAATCTCCAGCCCCTTTCCCCTCTGCAGAGGCCAGTAGGTAGGACTGAAAGTCTCACCCTCTAATCCCATGGCGGGCCTCTCTGGTGAGTAGTTCCATCCATAGATGCTTCCTGAAAGTAATCCCATCATCATAAACTCAGGTATGTTAGGAATATTGAGATACTTTTACCACTCTTATCACTTAGGAAATCCTAGGGTTTTAGGAGTTGTGTGCCAGGAACAGGGATAAAGACCAAATATAGATTTCTTATTATCAATCACAATATCACAGATGCATTTTCTTTCCCTCCCTTTCCATTTACCCTTCTAGGCTACTTCCGCCAGTATCGCCAGGAGCCGGTCAGCTTCGGCAACATTGGTTTTGGAACCCCCTACTACTACGTGGGCTGGTATGAGTGTGGGGTCTCCATTCCAGGGAAGTGGTAACCACGGGAAGATCATGCTGAGAGCTCACCCATCCGGCCGCCTTGACTAACTTGCACTAGGGACTGTGAGCAGGAAAAGATAGTGTCCCAAGCCCCATCGACCCTGGGTGCCGGCAAGGCCACGTGATGGACACTGGACATCTCAGGCATCTCTGGTCTGGAACGCGGTCCTACTTCTTGGCCTGGACTACACACAGAATTCAGTGTTGCTGTTAACTTTGCTTCTCCACATGTTTTGATTATAATAGCACCTGCCAGAGACAGCAGAAACACACAGCTACAGGGGATGCCCACTGACTCACTGCAGTCTTCACACTTTATAGGCGCAAAATTCAGACATGTCAGTGTCTCCAGGGAACAGCATAAACATGCTGGACTTGCTTCATGGAATGCTACACGCTTTCTCTTTTCTCACTGGACTCTTCTAAAAGTAGCCGAATTTAAGCTTCAGGTATCTCACTGTGCAGTAGAACTGAGTTACTAAAAACACCACCAAGGGAAATATATCCTACTTAAGATTTATCCCGTGGGCGTACCCACTGCTAGACCAAATGTATCAAATTATATTTGTAAATTCTCAATTTTGATATATATATATATGTATATAGGCATATACATATCCTCACTTGTCTGCAAGAACACTGATTAAAGTTGCTACATTTGTACTTGTTCACTAGATAAATGCGTGTGGGACTTTTTGGAGCAAAGGTGCTGTTAATGAACGTCTTTTAGAAGTGTCCAAAGGACCTGTGCTCTGCGTAATGAGAACAACAGAGTGAACGCTGCTGGACTCTGGGAATGACGGGGAGCTGGCGGTGATAGCAACTGAAACCAGTGACCTAGATGCAGACCGAGTGCTTTCTACCTAAAGAAACAATCTGTCCAGACCTGGGTGAAAACTACCACTTGCCCCTATGGGGACATGTCCAGTATGTTTTCAGAATAATCAAGACTTTAGATCCCAAATGATTTAAAAATCCAGTTTAAAAAAGAAAATACTTTCCCCTTTCCTGCCTGAGTAGCTCCTCCTCAAAATATGAGCCTCTTATCCCTTTGGACGGCAACACGAGAACATTTATTTAAAGACCCATTATTCTAATTCTTTTTCAAACATGGTGGCCTTTCCGTGTGCTTGGCTATCCCGTGTCCTCAGGCAGCTCCGTGGCATGAAGGTTTTGTCTTCTTTCATAAAGGTTTCAGCACACGAGAAGTAGGGGGGTGGGGAAGGGAGCTAGAAGCGTACCCTTTTCTGGGGCCCCCAGGCCACTGTGGAATGATTTAGTGGCAGAATGCAGTCCAGCCTCCTGGAATCAATTCCTTTCAGTGCCAGCACTGTGTTGAGGGGTGACCTGATGTATCTGGTGGGTTCAAAGGTAAAACTTACAAGGAAACTTGGCAGGGTCCTTTCCATGAGGCCGTGAAAGCTGATGTTCTCCTTAGATTCCATGATCCCCTTTCCACAATAAACAGCAGTAAAGAAAATGCAGCATTCCGACAGCCTGGGAAGATACTAGAATTCCTTAGGGAGCAGATTAGATACCCAGTTCATATGTCACTCACAGTTTAGTTTGCAAAACAGGATGGGAACTTCTGAGTAGCTTTTAGGGCTCTCGTCCATGAAAAGGGGATTATTTTTAAAAAAAAAAAAAAAGGATGTCTAAAAACCTTATTTTTCACACAGATAACATTCAAACATACTTCACAATGCCGAGCAAAAGATATGGTCTTTAAATATAGTGACTTTCCCTGATAAACACATAAGTTGCTTCCCTCATTACTCCCACCCACCCCTCCGAACTTCTGTCTGGTTTCAGCTTCCATTCGCCTGCTATCGGAGACCAGAGAAAGATGCCAAAATGAGGCCCCTGTTGGGAGAGCACCAGCAGATTGCACATTTCCTGAAAGTGTCTCCTCGGGTATAAATAATTCATTAGCATGTACGAGAGAAGAACCATTTGGTCTGTTCCACAAGCTTGTCTTGGTGATGGGGTCCCCTTTGGAAGACGCAGAGATCCAGATCAGCACTGAGAGGCAGGCACCCCACCCCCTTTGCGATTCACACCTAAAGGGAGCGTGCCTTGCCTCACCCCCAAAGGGGCGGATGCTCATGCCACATCCTAAAAGACATGGGTCCCTCAGAAGGAGTCTATGCTCACCTCACAGCCAAAGAAATTCCCTGGCATTCACTCATGCAATAACTTTCGAGCCCTGCCTACATCCTTAGACTGTAATTCATTCTGGAAATCTGAACTTCTATTAAAAATAAATGTTGACGGTTTTTTGATAGAAATTACCACAAACTCCAGGGCGCCTGGGTGGCTCAGTTGGTTAAGCAACTGCCTTCGGCTCAGGTCATGATCCTGGAGTCCCGGGATCGAGTCCCACATCGGGCTCCCTGCTCGGCGGGGAGTCTGCTTCTCCCTCTGACCCTCCTCCCTCTCATGCTCTCTGTCTTTCATTCTCTCTCTCTCTCAAATAAATAAATAAAATCTTTAAAAAAAAAAAAAAAAGAAATTACCACAAACTCCAGATGACAGAGCAGCCAAAACAAAAAAGAAAACACTGAAGGTAAGCATAGGTAGGTGGTATTCTTACCGATATTCTGTCCAAACGAGGTTACGTAACAGTCCAAATGAGTGCACAGTGGCTGCAACAAGTTTCTGGTTCCGTGTCAGGTCTGGAGGCCATGTTCTAGAAATGCCATGAGTCTCAAAACCATTGCATATCAAGTTAGGAGGAAATTAATTTACTGATTCCCTAAAGAAGGCTTCATCTATTTCAAAGGCTCTGAGAAAGAAGAGCTTGCCAACTTTAGAGGTCAGAAGTAGGCACAAGTGGGAATTAAAGGAAAAGAACATTTGGCTCAATGTTTTTTTGTTGTTGTCTTTGTTTTAAAGATTTTTATTTCTTTATTTGAGAGAGAGCCCAAGTGGGGTAAGGAGCAGAGGGAGAAGCAGACTCTCCGCTGAGCAGGGAGCCCAATGCAGGACTTGATCCCGGGACTCCGGGATCATGACCTGAGCTGAAGGTAGATGCTTAACCAACTGAGCCCCTCAGGCGTCCGAACATTTGGCTCAATGTGATGAAGTTTTAGACGAGTCCAATTAGCAGACGAGCCTTGTTGGAAAATAGCACGATGTCCATTACTGAAAGGCCTCGAGTATACCTGGAAATGTCTAAACTTGCCATTGGAGGCCCCCACCTGTTTTTCTATGATCTGTGAGCTCAGAACAGTGTCTACACATTGAAAGAGTTGTAAACAGAGTAGACAGATGAGCAAAAAACCAGTAATATATGACAGAGACCATATTATGTAGTTTGCAAGACCTAAAATACTATCTCACCCTATAAGAAAAAGTTTGTGTCCCCACGGATTTGTTTTCTTGAGGTTGAAAGGAGGTTAAAGCATAGTCCTAATTTAAAAACTAGCACATCCTACTTAATAGATGTCTGTTCCGTTTTCTCTTACTTGAGTTATATATTTTTTTCTGACCATCTCTAGCGCCTAACGCCTGAATTCTCGGAGTGTTAGATCCTGGGTTCCCAATTTTCCTGTTTGACAAACCCTTTGTTTGTGCTACAGTCTCAGGAGGCAACACACTCTTTGGGAGGCTTCATGCGTATTTATTACCATCTGGTTAAAACATAATTTCCAGCTTTTACCAGATGAGTTTTGACTTATTTTCTCCCCTTTGACCTACTCAAGCCACATGTCCTGGTCAGTTCAGGGGGCTGGGGAATTTGGGAATGTGATGATGAATGGGGTTACAGTGGGGTTCCTCTCTCTACATGGAAATCAGCTCTTAGTCACTATTACGAGGATTCTGCTGATAGAATCAATCAGGCCATGCTTGTGGAGCATCTTGCATATTGTGGATGCCTTAAAATCATCTCCTTGAAGTGTAACTATTTTGCAGGTGGAGATAAGAAGTGAGTTTAGAAAGTAAGAAGTCTTCCCAACCATCCATTTCCAACCATTCTCAGATCAGGCAGAGCTCAGTAAAATTGTATGAAACCACAGAGCCTACTTATTATGAACAGAGGTGTGATTTTAAATCTTAGTTGTAAGCTTATTAATGTACAAAATTTAAAAATCATAATGAGAGCCAAGCGCACAAGGGTTTATGATAAAAGGGAAATAAAATTGATATAAAGTTGGAAGCTAATGAATTTAACACACACACAAATGCTTGGTCTAGATTGGGAAAACAATATTCTCGCAGGCAGAGATTATCTGATGGCCCAAAATAGAACTAACTCTAGAGCTAAATCAAGGGTTTGCGTAAGGTCGGACCACGCAGTCTCAGGACAGGAAATAATGTACGGGAGTTGCTGAGAGTGACAGGTTGGCGAGTAGTGGCTCTTGCCTCCTTTTCTCTCTGGTCTGTTCTCTCTCCTGCTTTCCATGCATGGCTGCATCCTCTTCCCTGCGGATGGCTTTCTCTAGACACATGATGCCCAAATGCCACCAGCCCCTAGACTTCACATAGGGCTGCTGTGTACAAGTGTCCATCTGCCGCCCTGTGTGCAATGATCTGTCCACAAAATCTTGTAACTCTGCTTCTCTCAACCAGCTCTCCAAGTCTCTCAGTATCCAGTTCTAACCATCATGACAGGCTCTGACTGGATGTCTTGGGCAAGGGTCCACATCCTGATCCAATCAGCTGTTCCTATGTTGGGTTGTCACCTGGTGGAAACGAGGCTACCTATGCCTGCCCCCTACACAAGGGCTGTTTACATGTGGAAAAAGATAATCACTGACATGTTAGGACAAATACACATAGGTGAGTGAGAAATCAAATAAGAAAAGGGAGTCATTGTATTAGGCAACTGGTCATTTTAAAATTTCACTTAGGATATATTGAGGATTTCGTGTTTGTTCACTATGAGTACATTCATTTTGCTGTCTGAGATGCTCCAGAAAATTTTAAAATTTTGAACAGAAATAAGAGCAATACACAGTCTTTCTGAAGCTTTCTGTTACCAGGCCAATGATGAAATGAATAACTGATGTTAACGTAGTCTAGCTGGACAAGATACAATGAGTTAGCCAGTGATAGAAAGTTCTTGGGGGGTGCCTGGGTGACTCGGTTGTGCATCCAACTCTTGATTTCAGCTCAGGTCATGATCTCAGGGTCGTGGTCTCGAGCCATGCATTGGGCTCTGTGCTCAGAGGGCAGTCTACTTGAGATTCTCTCTCTTCCTCTGCCCCTCCCCCCTTCAAATAAATAAATAAATAAATAAATCTTAAAAAAAAAAAAGAAGAGAAAGTTCTTGAAAGCCCTGGAGGTAACTGGCCCTGAACACTTACAAGGGCTGGAGGAGTTTACTCCAGGCTCTGGAGTAACAAAGGGATGCACTTTGTTCAGTGCTCTGAGATACCCAGCTTCTTCAGAGTCAAATCCTAGGTCTTTTCCACAGCCTCCAAGGTGCCCCATGATCTGGTCACCCCACTCCTGCCCCCAACATACCCACTGACACCAACGACCCTGCCATGACTCTGACCTGTCTCCTCCCCTCTCTGCTCCTACCTGCACAGAGTGGGCTCTAAATATCCATCAAATGAGTAAACATATGGCTAAGATATAGATGGGAATTGAAAAGACAAAGCTTTTCAATCCAAGATTCTCAATGAGCAAAACGTGCCCCTCCAGCCCACCAGTCTGTCTGGGATTCCCTCAG